AAGTCCATCCAGGTTGCTGTGAAGTTCATGATTTTGTTCTTCTTTATGGCTACATAATATTCAATTGTGTATATGTTACTCATTTTTTTAATCCAAACCTCTTTTGATGGGCAGCACAGTTGGTTCTATGTTCTTGCTATTGTGAATAACACCAGCAATCTCTTTATGTCCCCTTGAGAGGGGACATCTGAGTGGCTTGCTAGATTTACAGTGTCCCTCAGAGGGGACATCCAAGTGCAAAGAGTTAAATCTTGATTTTGCTTTGTAAGTCTTGCATGGGCAGATTAGGTCTGTATACTCAAGGCATGGCCAGAAGTATAGTGGTCCTCATTCTAAAATATTTCAACTCAGAGTGAGGAGAAATGAAGAATCCCAATAGTGACTTATGTTTGGGATTCTCTGGCAAGTACACTCTGCTCTTGTCCAATATTGGCATTTTCCATAGTTCTTTACCTAGTTTTCATTTACCACAGTCTTAAATAGTTGTCGAGAGTACAGATTTCTTAGTAAAAAGATGTTTTTGGTAGACTATTGTTTGAACCATAAAACTTATCTGGCCTAACCAGTAGCTAGATTTGAGGGAAACGTGTTTCAGTAGCTTCAGTGTTTGAATGGTAATATATTGTGATAATTCTTGTTGACTGAATTGATCCCTAGGCACCTTCACATTTTAATTGAGCCACTTCATTAGCGAGAACAGATAAAACAATGTTTTCAAGTGAATACAGCTGTTGAGATTGGGATAACTGGTTAACTTTGTCCTTTAATTTTAGGACACTTAGGTTCCTCCCTGTGAATTACAAGATTGCCTGGATGGAAGACTGACAACACTACTTAGACCAAAAAATTACACCAATATGCTGATTCAATCAAGATATATGTTCAATATATTCTAAGTCCACCTTCTGTTCCATTCATGTTAGATTATTGAAACCCTGTATTACTCTGAAACACTGGAAGAGTTAGTAAATTGTAAATGAAACAATTGTGTTACTCTTGACTTTTATTTCCTTAGTATGGGGCTCTTGGAGAAGGTACTGTGAATTTGCTATTTTGATGTAGTATTGTAAGATGAAAAATTGATCCCCCTGAATTTGCTATTGATGTAGTGCGACAGAAAATTGACCTCTGTGAATTGGCCCCTTCCCAGTCAGGTTATCTGGTTTGATTATATAATTTACATCAAGAAGTTTCTTTACTCTCTGTCCTGCTTATAGGCAAAAAGTCACATTGTGTAATTTTTAATTCCAGTCAGTCATTGGATGGCATTCATCATCAGTTGCTGCATGGTTTTAACAGTCTAAGGCATCCAAGACTAAAAGGCATTACCAATGTTCTGAGATACGTCAGGTTTCAGCACATAATTTACATTTATTTGCCTCCAAATTAAGGCATTTATCATGATGTTTATATTTTCCCTATTGTTTGAAAGTTTCCCAGTTGTTTGAAAGGTTCTAATTATTACTTTAATGGTGTCAGAATTATTGTATTTTTCTTAGGAATTTAATGGAACTTATCTTATTAGATTTAGCTGGTATCAAACTGATAAGACTTAATTGTCAATGTTATGGTCAACTTTAACAGTCTTAGTTTTGGTTTGTGCCTTTGATTAATAAATGTAAATCTTTTACACAATAAATACTGTTTTCCTCTTAAAAAATTGTGCTTAAATGAACTTTAGAAAATCTGCTAGGATGCTTGTCTTCCACTGAGACATCTAAGCCCACATTTCTACTTGGAGTACAGTTTTTATATATGAAATGTAAGGCTGAGGTCTCAACTTTTATTAAAAAATTAATGTTCTTGTTTAAAAAATGATTCCATGTGAAAGGATTGCATTTTATATAATGAAATGGCACATGCTAGCATTTACCTAGAGATCAGACTTTTTTGAGTGCATAGTTTGCATTAAAAAAATTATATAAGGAAGTTGATAACCTGTATCTTCAGAATAATAAGGAAATTAATAAAATAATAATTATTAAAATTTGAGTTGAATTGGGGAAATTATTTCTTTGGTTTTGGATTTTTTTATACATCCATCAGTAGAACCTATCTCTGATTGCCACACAGTCCTTGAATTGATGGTAAGAGGGAGTTAATTACATTATAAATAAAGTGGAGAAGAACTACTAGCTTAATAAAACATGCTTTAGAATGCTTGGTGTTACTGAAGATAACTTATATTCTTCATTAGAACATTTGCCAGGGGTAGCTTTTAGCATAAGAAGATAAAGTAATAAGAAATAAAGTTGAAAAATGGATAAAGTGATAAAGTTAAAACGTTGTGACTCTCCAAATGCAGTAAATGAGATTTTTGGCTATTAGTGAAGGTAAAGAAGCAAATAAAGGATTCTCACAGCAATTTCAAAATAAGTATTTTCCATTTTAATGAATTTGAAGAACGTTTATCTTTAGATTTAAATTTTTTTTTCTTCATTATTGGAAAAAACCTATAGAAAATTCAAATGGAAAGTATAAAGAGAAAAAAACACACGTCACTGTTTGAGTGGGTTAGTTTGGTGATTTTTAAGGCTTGTTTATTTGGGATGGCCATTTACATAAGCCCCTTATGACTGATTTATGCATGTGCATACTGGATTGTAAGCCTTAGTACTGAAAGTAGTGAGGAACCTGGTTTCACCTGATTATAACTAGTGCAAAGAAAAGTTTATAGTGTTTTTATTAGCTTACTGATTAGACTCACTAGTTAGAGATATCCAGTTTCCACCAAACACATTAGATCCATGCCTTTCCATAGCAACACTCCTAATGGTAGAGGGAATGAATTCCCTTAGTGGTGCAGGCCTGAGTTCTGAACTTTGAAGTTTTGTTTCATAGGAATCTGGAAAATTTTGCATTTTACTCCACTATACGTCCCTGTTTAAATTTAAAATAATTCTTCAGTTTTGGTGTGCCAAATTTGGGTTGCCTTATTTCCAGGCACCAGATTGCTCACTGCAAGGTGGCTCTGAACTTCCATTTTGAGAAGCAGAGCTCTCTAGGTATATTTTCTGAAAGTATGGAAAACGTGGTAGCTTTCCAGGGCCTATTCCAGGTGGGTTGTTGGGTTTGTGTGGTAGGCGTCAAACTTTTGTGGAAACAGATACCTAATACAAAGGACAAATGCCATTTCTGGTTCTTCTCAGCTCAAAAAAGAGTCTTTTAGATGGTTTTTCACCTCCTATAAGAATCCAGGTTGGTATTGGATTGCCAGTGATATGGCCAAACAAACCTTTTAAATTATGAGACGTAAAGCAATATACGCATTTTCTTATGAAACTGAGTAAACTTTAGTTCCTTTGGACTATTCTGTGTGGACTTTTGTTTGTGTTTGTTGGAAAAAAAACCCCAAGGTATAAATACAGTTTCCACTTTTCCTCATAGCATACATAAAATACTTTGAGATTTGGTTTTTAAGTTTACTGCTTTTCTAGGTTGACACTTTGTGATGTGGCAAACCAAAACTTTCTAATTTAAAAATAAAACAAGACTGGGAGTGGTGGCTCATGCCTATAATCCCAGCATTTTGAGAGGCTGAGGTGAGAGGCTTGCCTGAGCCCACAGATTTGAGACCAGACTGGGCAACTTGGTGAGAGCTCATCTCTACAATAAATCAAGAAAAATTTGCTGGACATGGTGGTACATGCCTATAGTTCCAGCTACTTGGAAGGCTGAGGCGGAAAAATCGCCTGAGTCCAGCAGGTCGAGGCCGTGATGGCCATGAGCATGCCACTGCCCCCCAGCCTGGGCGACAGACACTCCAACTCAAAAAATAAGCAAACAAATATATAAATATTCCAGCTGGGCACGGTGGCTCAAGTCTGTAATCCCAGCACTTTGGGAGGCCGAGGTGACAGGATTACCTGAGTTTAGGGGTCCGAGACCAGCCTGGGCAACTTGGTGAGACCACATATCTACAACTAAAAACAAATTAGTCAGGCATGGTGGCATGTGCCTGTAGTGTCAGCTACTTGGAAGGCTGAGGCAGAAGGATCACCTGAGCCCAGCAGGTTGCGGCTGTAATAGCCATGGATGTGCCACTGCACTCCAGCCTGGGCAACAGAGTGAGACTCCAACTCAAAAAAAAAAAAAAATTAAAAAAAAAAGCTAACATATCTGAAAAGAACATATAAATTGAAACATTTACAGGGAAATGACACTTTCATTTTTAAATCATCATTTTAAAAGTTTGCCCAGATTGCTTGTGAGACACCATTATGATTAATTATGGTTTTTCTATTGCATACCCTTACCCTGTGGAGCTTAGTAGAGTCAGGTACTTGTGAGAGCACAGTAAATACTAACGGAATAAATTAATAAATGAATGAGTTTAATCATAATGACTTTAATGTTCTGTATGAAATAAGATGTTAACCTAAACTGGAAATCATTTAGATATTAAGCACTCACTCAATGTTGATTGAGGTGGTTCTGACACTAGGGATGACATAGCTTATGGGAATTGGGAAAAATAGGTCAGCTGCTCTAAGAGTTCATTATCATTGGCTCTGCCACATACATCTATCAGGTGAACATGAGTTCTTTAAGATTGTCATATTTGATCTGGTGGTGTTCTCATTACCACATCCTCAAAGATTTTATCAAAAAAATTGAAGTGGTAAGTTGGAAAGGCTTTTGTTTCTTCCAACAGAAGTTTCTCTCTTTTTTTTATTTTAAACATATTTTTTATTTTAAAATTGTGGGGTACAGTTAAGGGTTAGGTTTACAAATATGCATCGTTCAGGTACTCTTGTTGATAAGGATTGTCTCCCCATCCCCAGACAGATATTGACTACCATTAGTCCCACCTTCCTTCCCCTCCCTACCCCTCCATAGTTTCCCACCACTGTCAATCCTTTTCTTATAGTATTACGATAGATGCTCAAGGTCCACTTATGATTGAGAACATGTGATACTCAGATCTTTGTTTCTGTGAGAGATCACTCAGTATTATAGACTCTAGTTCCATC